GCTAAAGTACCAAAATGTTTTTAATTAATGAAAAAAGTTTAAAAAAATATTTTAATTTAAAGATCATGTCAAAAAATAACTATTATTCTCTGTGAATAAAAAAACGATTTAATTATACCGGGAAATGGATTATTAAATAATTCCACGATACTCATTCAAAATTAAATTAATTACTAATAAATATATATTTTGTACAATAATGTAAGAATTGTATTGAATAAGTCCATTTTAATGATGTAATTCAATAATTATTATAGAAAATTACAGTTTGATAAATATTTTAATTGATCATCTCAATTGTATATTATATTGATAAGTGTTAGATCAATTTTAAAAGAATATATTTTATAATGTATACATAATAAAAATACTTTTTAACTTCTCGTATACAATACATTTTGCGTTTTAATTAATATGATTTATTTACGCGGTTTAGAATTTCTATTTGTATTGTAATCAATTAGGTATAGTTGATAAAGTCGGGGACAACAAAAGCCAGACGAGCAAAGCGAATCGAGTATAGGGGGAAAGGGATTACACGCCGTCCTTGTTGAAAAACTATCTTTGTTGGTCGTTGACAAAGGCACCTGTTTGTCAAATGTTGGAGGGTGATTTGTTTAAATTCGGGTCCTTAGCGTTTGCGATATTTATGAAAGTTGTTGGTTAAAACCATTTTGCTGTACACAATCCCAAGCACGAGTTACCCGTGTGATGAAGTGGTATAATATTATCCGATTAGGAAAACAACTTCCTGTTTTCATACAAATATTCAAATTTTACACTTAATTAACTATAAAAACCGTTGCCGTACGACGGTTAATAGTTGCAAATTGTAATATATTTCATGTGGGTACCTACTATTTGCTTGATCGATTACGAACTACGCGTGTTCACGAATATATTCAATTAGGTATAATAAATGTAATCCTATCATGTAGTTTGGCTCAAAAGCTCATATTATTTTTTTCGATGTCGCACTTATAAAATATTATACTATAGCCTAACCTATCTGGTATTATATTAGGAAATTGTGGTATTGAGGGTAATACTAATATGGTTGTGATAACCAATATTATTCTGATAATGATTACTAAACATATTTCCTACGACGTACCTAAGTCGTATAGCGTCCCATGCACATATAGAATTATATACCGACTGTACATGATGGCGCTGTATATGATAATTTATTCCGACTTGATGTACACGACGATTTAAGCTTTTATGGAAATTATTACAATGCAGGCAATGCGCAGTATTATAATGAAAATTTTATGAAGCGTGTATTTACCGCGCGTACGTTTATATACGGTGGCTACAATATTATCTTTGATGTGCATTTTCGTTAGATTTTTGACGGATAATCTCGAGCATCGTTATAATATATTATTATAAAGTTCACATTTATACATTATATATTATTATATATGTATATTTACATATTATCATGTTTGCACATTTTAAGCGCATAAAAGTTTGCCACACGTGTTATTATAATAATAATAATAATATCGTGAGCAAATTTTCGACGTGTCGAGTGCAAAGAACACGCCAGGAATTTGCGTCGTACACGCACGCACACACACACACGCCTAAACACACGCACACACGTATAAACAGATGTCTCGTTTTCAGCTCATCACCCCGTCGCCGGTCCATTGTGCATCGTCGGCCGCGCGCCAGTGTAGTCGCGTATCTCATATTATTATTATGCGGTCGTAAACTTAAGGGACAAAGTCAAACGGGCGGCGGCGGAGCCGTCGAGTGCCGCCGGTGCAGCAGGGTATCATCGGTGGCGGCAAAGTTGTTAATTACTCTTGACGTCCCGCGTGTATATATACACACAGTGTACACATAAACAGCGGCAACAACAGCAACAACAAGAACAATAATGGAGCTGCCTCGGCGTCCCGGGTTATTATATAATGATGTCGTAATAATTTCGCATAATATAATATTATAATAATAATATAACATCCCCCAACGTGCGGCCCTCCGTCCTAGCCGAAAACCTGCTCGCCGGGCCCGCGCATTGCGCAATAATATTATGGTACCTGCGCAATACGGCCCTTAGCTGCTGTGAAATATAATAATAATTTATCCTGCGCATTGCACAGATTTTCCGTGGCGATGGCACGATTCGCAGCAATACGCACACGTGACGCGGCGCAAAATGTTGACCACCAAATTATTACGTGGATTGTAATATTTATAAATATTTATCCAAACGCATTCCTATAACGATAATAATATGTTAAATCATTCTAATACGTCTCGCGAACACGTAGATTTTCGGTAGCTCTTAGTGCTCTCAAACTTCTCGGGGCCTACTATTGCTTATAAGTAGTTATAACCAAATCGGTGGAATTATTTTATCGTTGCGATATATGCCGAGTGGTATGTGGTTGCAATAAATGTCATGTTAGAACGTTGAGGTAGCGGACAACGATGACTTTAAATCGACCAACTACGATTATGTTTCCGGTCGGTTGGACGAGTGGCAAGTTATGGAAAAAAAAACATGACCCATAAAGCTTATAATATATATTAATTACGATGCGTTTTGTATTGGTTTCTCAGAGGGTGCATCGTTTTTATTTAGACAAAAGTGTATACAATATATATATATATATATGTATTATACACCCGCGTACGCTCCCTGCAGTTTAACAACAATAATTCCCTGGATAGTTTGCTCACCCTTTTTTTTTTTGTCAAAGGGTTCACTCAGTGCCCTTTGCAACTTTTTCATAATATGTGCACGTATACGTATATTACATATTTTTTAATACGTTCCCTATCAACCATAAATCACCGGAGGAGGACCGGTTATTATGCGTATACACATGTACAAGGATATATAGTTGCGGTTTTTATTTATTTTTTTTTTTTTACATTCAGCAAGTGTGAATTTTTTTTATTTGTGGCCGGGTCCAGTTATATATGGTTTTGGCAGGACAAATTATTGTTCTAATTATTGTAATACATATGTACATTATTAATGCTTCGGTGGTTCGACGTTGAAGAGCAATTTATTGATTGTTACGAGTGTCGGTGGATTGCCATCATGCTAATTCGATTGTTTGATTACAATTATAGTTGTATCATACTATCATTACACCGGGAGGGTGGGAGACCGTTATAATAATAATAATAGATAATGATCATTGTCATCAGTTGGACACGAAATGTTCGCAAAATAAAAACCACGTGCCGTGAATTATGTGTGTAATATATACATAGACGAGTGGTCGAGTGGATACAATTGACAACCGTAATACTGCAGCTATTGTAATATGCGCTCAATTCATAATGAAATACGATTATTATTATATTATTATACTTACAGTTGTATATTTATTATATTTCCAGTTCGTAATCTGCTTGCTGTATTACCTACAAAAAACAACGGTTTCGTTTTTCTTTTAGTTTATTTATTTCCATTTTTACAATGGCGTGCTCAATTTCACGAAACAAACGTTAAATATGTTTTTATTATATTCTATATTAATATTAGGTTATATTAATCCGACATAACGATCTAACTGGCTTTTAATGTACATAATAGGTAATCCGCTGAATAAAAATTGGATTTATAGATTACTTATAGAGCTAGTATGCATATAGTAGGTATATGTAATTAACATACTTTACACATGACTCACATTTTTTCGTCAATTAAAACTAAGTGATTAGAACCGTCCATATGGTTAATAATTTATTGAATGGGGCTTAAAGTACTCGAAACTAATGTAGATTTGACTAATCTAAACATAAATTTCGTTTATTTTCATATTTTTAAACGTGTTTAAATTCCGTCTCATAAAATACATCTTAAGGGCCATGGAGACAATTTTCAATATATATTTTTTCATCTGTAATATCCATGTATAAAAGTATGATATATTTTTGTATTTATAATTTATATTAACACATAATTAATACGCATCATTATTAGGTATGACACTAACAAGTAATAATAATTGGAATATTAAAAATCACCTTGATGGAATCCTAGTATAAACTTGTAAATCAATCATAATCCGTTTTCAAAATTAAAATCCGTCAAACCAAATTCCTCCAGTTTTGTCTGGTTTTTTGGTCTATAAGTCACTTTTTTCATCGACTGGAGCCACCCTATTACAAAATTAATTAATTAACATATTTAGGTACATCTTAACATTTTTTAACATATACTCTATGTAATATTCTACTTATAACACTACTAAGATATTCGAGTGTTTTGAAATTTTACTAAAAACATTGTAGGTACCAAATACCTACAATTTATTAAAAATTTAAAATGTAAATAATTTTAATTTTATGGAAAGGATAAATAAAAAAATAAAAATATTAATGCTCAGTTGTAAATTGTGATGATATTAAATTGCACAGCATGCATTTCAAACCAATCAAGCCCTTTAAAACAAAATTCTTTGTGGGTATATACCTAGACTAAAACCCGCTATCAAAGCGTTTTAAATCTTGTACATTTAAATATAAACCAGGTATCTGAGGAACCTGTATCATTTTTAAATACATAATTAATTGAATAAACTGCAGTCTACAAATAAATATTGATATACGTAATAATATTTGGTTAGCGTCTAGCGATTATAAAGAACACTATATAATATGGAATGACAATAATATTTTTATTTTTTTTTTTATGATACACCAAAATAATGACGTAACATAATATTATTGTTTTAATAACTCTCATTTACCTTTTAAATCTTGCTTTAGAAGTTAATAATGTTAGTACGTTAGGATAGTACGACCGTTACTATTGTAAAATCGACTTAGATGGTTTTTTTCATTATTCTGACCTTACGTGCAGTAGTGCAGTACGCCGTGTTCATAAATTTATCTAACACCATAAATAATAGTTAAAAATCATACATTTAAATTGAGATTTTTCTTTAAGCCTATATAGTTGTATTTTACCATAGTAGGTACCTACGTAAATTCGACTAAAGGTTGATTTTATTTATTTTCAGACAAAATTGAAGGTTCCAGTAAAAAACACGGTTGTTCTGGTAAATCAAAAAGAGTACGAACAATATTCACTCCGGAACAATTGGAGAGGTTAGAGATGGAATTCGAACGTCAACAATACATGGTGGGTCCAGAAAGACTATATTTGGCTCACACATTACAGTTAACGGAAGCACAAGTGAGTACGAGATTAAAATTTTTGAATAAATAAACGACGGTGGTGTTATTAAAGGTTACGCTGTTTTGTTCTCGAATCACTCGTCCAAAACTTTGTATAAATTAGGGCTTGAAACAGAATACATTTTTTCCAATTTCGATTTCGTTCTCAGTTTCCATATTTATTTTTGTATTTAACGGTTTTAACCAGTGTCCAATATCGGTTTCAAGCCCTGGTTTAAATTATTATAAACGTTTGGAAAGTAAGATAATATTAATATATTATAAATATAAACAGTACACACAATACAGATGTATGATGTATTGATGTATCCATTAAAAATATACATTGAGTACATAATTTACATGTTAAATAATGCATCATTAGAGATGGTCTAAGATAAATCTAGCCCAGAGTATGACAGGGTAAAATTTGGACGATAACTCAATAGACCATATTGAGGGAAATATCTAAAGATGAGATATTTATGGGTAATCAAAAATAAACTCCTAATTACACATTATTGGGTCATATACCTCTACTCACATAATAACGATCGTTTTTATATATAATATTGTGTACCTATTGTATTTATATATTATAGTTTATTTATAATTTTGTAGAACAAATATTACATGAAAGAATATTTTATTTGATTCAGGTTAAAGTTTGGTTTCAAAATCGTAGAATAAAATGGCGAAAACAACATCTGGAAATACAGCAACAGAGGTTGGCCAACATACACCAACGGAGTTCGCAGGGAATGGTCCAAGAGGGAGAAGAAGACGAGGATTCGGAAACGGAAACGAATAATTGTTCATATTACTCATAAAAATATTAAGAATAAAATGTATAGGTTAGTTTCCTATAACTATGTGTTTAATATTGAAATGTGGAAAGTCCATCGATCGTGGTTTTAAGAAATACATGAAAATCATTATATAATATTATGCAACTGAGTTAGTCGTGAAAACTTCCGTTTTTCTATAATATCAGGTGAAATATTATTTAAAATGAAAAACTTTTTTAATTGTTGTTTGTCTTTTTACAAAGCATAAAATATATTATAATATCCATGTATAACTATAATATTGTATAGAATTGTGGAGATTCATCGAAAACACTTTTAAACTCAAACTGATGCCAAAACTGATGATCAGACGGAATTTTGATGATATCGCAAACCTTTACAATTTGTTGAAAATCTAAATATACACTTAATCTGATGTGTTTAATGCAAGCTCGTTAATAATTAGCATATTAGAATATAATAATATTATATAGGTTAGATGTTCCATTATTATTATTTATTAAATATTACCTATGTTGATCAAATGTAAATATATATTCTACAATGTTGTAAATAAATAATAAAATGTGTTTAATAAATACTATTATTGGTGTTATTGGAAATCAAAATGTTCTAAAAAACTGTTTCAGCATCCTTTATTCAAATGTTCTACTAATCAACATACTAAGACGTTGTTGATAAACAGTTTGATATAAACTACAAATATAATTATTCTCAAAGTAACACAAAACTATAGTATATTTGTGTAAATAGGGATATTATTGAAACAAATATTTGATATCCATTAAAATATAGTAAGTTCACACAAAATTTAACGTATATTTCATTTTTCTCTTTTCAAACTAAAATATATTGTTTTGAAAATAATATTTCATTTAACATCATGTAACATTTCATGATGTGTTCAACTCCAATAGGTATTCAACAACGTGTAAATATTAAATGTTTATAAGATTTAAATAGCTAAACAATTTTAAAAGGAAGAAAAATAGAAAATCTTTAACTTCAATTAATTATATATAGGTCCTCGGAAATTCTATAGCTTAAAGTTTTGAAGAAAAGTGAAATCATTTATAATATAGGTATCTACATGCAAGTAAATTGTTGAGTGTTTAGCTGTTTAAGTATTTAAATGTTGTATACGAAAACGGAAATACTAATAAAGATTACACAAAAGTGTAAATAAAAAAAGGTAAGAATGGAAAACAAAAAAAAAAAAGATTAAAAAAGAACCTTAAAGAATGTTTAAAAACCACTGGTAGTACAGGAATTTTGTTTAAAATAGCTTAACTTCCAAAACGAAAAAAAGAAAATAAACTTGTGTCTTAAAAACAATACCTACTTAAATATATACTATTAAAAATATAAGCCTAACTAATATAATGTTTTTATATTGTTTATGCAATATACTTCACTCTATTATTTGTATTTATAAAAATATATTATAAAACAAAATGCAAACCAATATGTTAAGTATTCGGTTTACTTTAAACACTTTTGTAGTGTACCGAGTACTAACGAAAACACTTATTTAAGTACAAGTCTCATTTTATTATTAATTAATAGATTTAACATTTTTACATCACTAAGATGTGTGGTGTGTACAGCGGACATAACATTCGTACTGACAATATATATTACACATAACCTACAAATACAATACATATTGTCATAGAATAATAACATACATCATAACTTAATTTAATGAAAAATAATAAAATATTTTACTGTAGTGATTTTAAATTTTAAATTTAGATTAGATGTTTATGAATTTAAGTTGAAACTATACACATTTTTGAGATTTATTCAGTTTTTTTTTATTAATAAATTACCCTCGGCAACATTGGCCATTGGGATATAGCTATTATTTACATTTCATTAAGAACTTATTTTTAATGATATACAGATAAGTTTGTGAACAATTTATATAGATTTTATAGTTTGTTTTGAAGTTTTCCTTTTATGATGAAGTCGAATATAATATTATAATATAATATTATCTTACGATGTGATTTTATCCAAGGATTTAGCATTGATCTCAATTAGATATATATTATATAATAATAAATAACCTATACTGGTATTAAATTGTAATATATAATTTATCCTCTCCGACATTTTGAAATTTATTAGAGGTGATTTCAGAAGTATAAATCAATTCATTAGCAAAGTAACATAGCTAGTAAGTTACATTCACTGGACATGTTCGATGGAGGGTCGAAGGTGGATATAGCTTTAATACTGAAAGTTGAAACTATTAATTACCTATTGTTTCATATAGGCAATATAAACCACTACTTTTAAAATTATGAAACGTATTATTGTTTCACGTGATAGTCATAATATGATATGCCTGCAAAGCTCTGTCAAAATAATATATGTACAATGTACATAACATTGGTTAACCAGCCTGGTATAAAATCAGGAGATATAAACTGAAGGGTTAATAAAGTATTGTAAAATATTATTTGAAAATTGTATTATTTGTTGTGATTGTCAACTTAGATTCTAAGGCTTAGATCATGTATGAATAGTTAGCGAATGAGCTAGAAAATCTGTAGATATATAGTTATGTTTGGTAATCTGATATTGTTAAACTAAAAATGTTTTTGTGAAACTGTGAAGGAATTAATATGTAACTAAACATGAACTAATTTAAGACCTTGTAATTTCGTTTGCTGATGTTACGACGATCATCTTGTGATATAAAATGTAAAATGGCAGTTCTCCAGTACTTAACATACTGTCCGTATCACGCATGTATCAAAAGGAATAAATGTCGCTGACAATAGTGTCCAACACCTTATATGTCTATACATTCTGCAGTACCTACCTACATATCTCCCATTATATTGAACATGGGCCTACGGTGTAATTTGGATTGATAATTCTGGCCTTTCCTCGTTGGCTAGGGGAAGATTTTGTTCTCATATACCAGGCCTACGGGGGATAGTGTAGGACTTCGTCCATAAGATTACCTATATAGAATATATCGATCATGATGCACTATTTTAGATTCGGAGTGGACGCTATTTGTTTGACGATGGTAGAAAACACTATACGGGATAATAAATATTCTATGTCAAATAGTATAAAATATATATTGTACACAATTTTGTATATTCGCAATAGTAATTGTTGATGAAAACAAAGTGAGAAACAGCAATGAAACGTTGAGAAAATACAATAAAGAACAAAAATCAATAATCAATTCATTTAACAAATTGTATAAAATTAAAGGCGAACATAATCTCTCAAAACGTTTTATTGTTGCATTATCTGATTTTGGACATAATATTATACTATCAATCTCATATTAACTGTCCGCACATTATTGTCGTTCAAAGTTTATTTAGTTCGAATAGTTATGACGCTGTTGCTGCATTCATAATATTATATACAGTACCCACTTCCTAGTCGTACGATACATGGTACAAATAACATATACCGTAACCATAATATATAATATATTATATGTACCTATATATAGTAGTATACTACTTAGTACTTACGAGCAGTGAAACTGACAGTCAAGTGATTGCGCTAGTGACAAAATAAATGAAAACCCAACAGCGTACGGTTGCTATAATACATATACATGCACCTATGCTTGTCGCTTGAATTCAATATTATTTTATGGTTTTACAGGACGTAGTAAATGCATAAAACACAATAAAAAAAATTGCACAAGCTTTTACCCTCGGGATCAAAGCGAAAAGTATTGCCGTAGTATACCTATACCTACAACAGCGTACATAATATTATATTATTCGTTAGAGTTAAATCATTTCACAGAGAACCGCGGTAGTGGTTGTCGGTGTCTAAATGTAATCGTACCTGCGAGTCGCAATAAAAGGCAATTTTGAATTTTATCATTTATATATTGTAATATATAAATGTGTATTTGGGTGTATAAAAGTCGCGTCTCGCAGTCTGGAGAGCTGTGGGCGTGCGGGTCCGGGGGGGGAGGGGTACGCGTGAAGGGGCGAAAAGAGGCAATTTTCTCCGAATAACGTCCGCATAAAGAAGACGTTTCGCCGTTTTTAAGTGGTCGTCTGCGGGAAAAGACCTCGGTTTTTACTTTTTTTTTCTTGTCTTTCTACACGCACTCATCCGAAGAGGGGACTTTTTTTGTTGTTATTATCGTTCCGCAAACGTGTTTTTATATATATATATTTTTTTTTTTATTCTCTGATATTAAACACGGACTCACTCTTTAAATATATAATATTATACAATATATAGGTATACGCATCACAATATCACATAGATTTTACTCGTAGGTACAGGATGATTATTTTGACTCTATTTTTCGATTAAGTTCTTATATATAATATATTTGAATACTTTCTATAATATTAATATCCCTATATACGAGTACCGTTTTCAAACATATATTATATCGTTTTACCGGATTTTAAAGTGATTTCATTGGAGTTTTTAAATGGTAACATTTTTTTTTCAAATATTATACTGTTGAGTATATATTTTTTTTAAAAGTTCATTCTATAAATATTGATAATTGAACGAACGGTAGATTTTATAAGAATTTATAATTATATTTATTTATTTATGTGGGGGGAATATAATATTATATAGCTGCATATAGGCTGCATAGGTGCATACCTATATAAACAATACCCCATCGACAGTTTGGCAAGATACTCGCTGCACATTTAAACAATGAACTGCTTATTCCAGTGCTGTGGAAGGTGGTTAATAGAATTCTGAACTGAACATCATAATACCTACGCCAATACTTACGCGTATTGCTATACTGTGTCTGCCGATTTTTATTTTACCAAGAAGTTGTCTATTGTTCAATTTTCAAGCACATATTATTAGGTACCTATCTAATCGGGATAGTCGAATTGCACTTAATACCTAAAAATATATGGTCGAATTGCACTTGGGTTCAAAAAAGGTAATGGTCGAACTGCACTCGGGTAAAAATCAGCTAGTAGTCGAACTGCACTCGTTCAAAAATAGGAGTTAAAATTTTAGGTCACTATAGACCTTCA